CTTGGAGTATTCCCAGCTGTTACATCGGCATTACCAAAAGAGGCATCATCCTTAGCACAGAGTTACACTTTATAAAAGTGACAAGATATTAATATATGATGTATTCACCCTATTTTCTTAAGTTTATCAGGGACTGATAGTCGACCTTATGTTTCCGTTAAACTTCACATAGCCTTTCCCCCTAAAAGGTATTCTTTTTGGTCTACTCATATCATTGTGGGAAAGTTCAACTACCAGTCCTTCATCACCTTACATGAATACATCATATATACATGATATATTGGTAGTCTCGAATGCATACTTATAAACAAAAAACAAGATACTAAGCCTGGCAAGGCTCATGAATGATGATAATAACAATACCGACTAAAATGCTGGCCAAACGTCTGGAAATGTACCAAGTTCAGGCTCCGACACCGGAACTTGCCATCGATGATATGGCAGGGGAGTTCGAACAAGCTGGGTCAACCTCTTACGATACGATAAAGTTGAGGAAAACAAGATAAAACCCTTTCTAAAACCATGCTAAATTCAATGAAATTATGAGGCAACTCATGTCATTGTGCATGAATACCAAGTTGGTGTGGCCTCCAGCATGTTCGCGTTGTATAGACGTGGTTTGATCTCATTTTCCCAACTTGGTTGTATTGTTTTTCGTATGTAAATAGGGCATAGGCCTAGATTAAGACATCTTGTACGGAGTTCGAGGCTGGAAATGATCATGAATACTATGGCAGGGGGCTCCGAGCAAGATTTGTTTACCCAGTCATCTCTGATAATACAAACAAGTGGCGAAAACGAATTCATACCACATCTATCAGTCCTTAAATCACCTCAAGCAGACTAGGCTGACTAGGTTTCTCTTTTCTTCTCCAGTCCTAGTAACCATGACTCTCCAAACCACAAAAGGAAGGAAGAAACTTAGTTTGGTGTATTTCGATTCTCCCAGTTGTGAAGCAACCAACAGGATATGTTTCAATTATTGAAGGACTGGCAAGTAGAAATATCATTAGTACGTAATGCCTGTTCTATTCAGACTACCCAGCTTTTCCTAGGCCCACTCGAAAAGTATAACTTAATTTCGATAACTCGCTGAAGAGAATAGTGAGAAAGTGCCTGATGACGAGGTTTGTAGGTAGCTTCGTCCGGAAGGTGAAGGAGGATTACGGTTGCTCTACAGTCATTTAATTTTTCTTTCAGGCTGGGGCAGTCCACGAGACATCCTCCTTTGCATCCACTGAAAACCACTCAGCTGTATCTGATTATGAACAACATTTTAAGCTAGCAACCAGTCAAGGAGACTATTTGGCTTCTTTTTAGACTAATAAAGTGTTGAAAAGATAGATTAGTGGCCTCTTTTCGATAAAAGTAGTTTGACTTCTTTTTTGCTTACAAACTTCTTCGTCTGGATAGACTTGACATGGTCTTATTTTGGCAACTCTGACGTGTTGTCAAGGCGAACTCGATGACTTCACCCTGTCCAGCGTCATCTGCCATAATATTATTAATTATTTCCAGCTCCTCATACTCTTCCCCGGCATCGTACTCGACACTACCAATGAGTCTTGCCAGTCATAGCGCCACGCTACAACTTGTCAAAGAGACAAGTGAGTCCATTCCATGATCAGCTTCTAGACGGAAAGTTGGAAATATGTAGAAAGATATGGAAAGATATAGAACTATCTAGTTAGTTCCTTTTCCTGTATGGGGATGCATGTGCAAAGTCAAGTGCAATTCAGAGCGTAACGCCAGTTAATTTTCGTCAAGTCTATCGACAGACTTGAGGAGATATTATAAGAGCTGCATTCACCCTATTTCGTATAGAGTGGTTCTAGCGAATTTCACTTAGACTTGTCCTTTAGTAACAGGACAGAAGTGAATTTAAAGGAAGCCCAGGCTTTTCCCATGTTGCATTGCTGTGGTGGAATTGTCAGCGAAGCAACGTTGTATTTGCTAAGGCAATCGAATATATTACTTTCTTTCACTTTACAAGTTAGTTTTCCAGACTACCAGTGGATTTAACATAAAAGTTGCATTCACCTAATTTCATTTAAACTAACCCAAGGGCACTCGCCGCAGTATGGCTAAGGGGTTAACGTGTTGAGACTATAAGCTACTCTGTCACAATCCGGGTTCTAGTCCGGCTGGTGCCTGGGACCTGGACTCAAGCCAGAATATGTGAAGCGATATTTAATGGAAATTTGAGGCCTACTCCTTTCATTGTGGTATAATTCATCTACCATTCCTTCATCACCTTAAACGAAATAGGTTGAATACATCTCAAATAAATGGTTTACCGGTAGTCTCGACTAATTACTAATAAAACGAAACTAATTACCAAAGTGCCTAAGCTAATGCTCGGTTCATCAAGCATTAATGGAATATGGAAAATTAGTTTTCGTACATACTCAGAATTTCGAGACTACCAGTAAATCGGTTATATGAGATATATTAACCCTATTTCGTTTAAGGCGATAAAGGACTGGTAGTAGGATTTTCCTACAATGATATGATTAGGGCTGACGTTTCCACTGAATTTCACATAGCCTTGCTTTCCCAACTTTCAATCAAAATTAAATTCGCTCCTTCGGTCATAAAGCTTTCATATATATGAACTGGCAGTTGAGTTTTCCAAGAATAATATGAATAGACTTTACGTTTCCATTAAATTTCACATAGTCTTTCTTCCCAAAGGCTATTCTCATACAGGCAGGAGTGGATCACAGACCTCAGACCTCGCCTGAACTGGTCTCATTAGTATCGCCAGCGGGACTCGAACCATGACCACCGTGTCGAGATTACACGCCGCACTGTCATCGTTCGAGTCCCACTGAGGGTGCTGAGGAGACCTAGGCGAGTTGGAAACAGCACTCCACTCCTGCTTGGGGAAAAAAGCCTTTTGAGAAGTTTAGTGAAAATATAAGGTCTACTCATATGACTACAGGAAAATTCAAATATCAGTCTCTTTATCACCTTTTAACGAAATAGGGTGAATAAACCTCATATAAATGATTTATTGACAATGTCTAAAGCCTACTTATAAACGATAAATCACAATTTCATACATACTTCTTCCTACATTCCAGATGGCCTTCCAGTCACGGTTCAACTCTCCCGCTGGCTTAGAATCACTCTCCTCGACGTTTGACAGTACGATCGAGAATTCGATGGAAGGAAGTCATTCCAGGTCAACTGGATACCTCGAGTTAGAGGAAAGAAGCGATCCTGGCGCCAAAACGCACCCACTATTTCCTCTTCCTTCTCCTCCTCCTCCGTCACATACACTTTCTTCAATGCCTTCTTCCCTGACGCCCATTGAACCCTTCACTTCCTCAGCCTCAGCCGAGCTTGAGCTCTCTTCCCTACCCTTCCCCTTCTCAACCTCTCTGTTTCAGGCACCACCGATTCTGAAGCAGACGCCCCAATGGCACGGCTCCAAAAAGACTCATCATCCCACCCAGTCCTGCCGCCTGGGCACCTCCAGAGAGGGGCAACTCGAGTGCTTGCCCGACAGCCCTGCCCGACAGGTCGGTACCTCACTGCTCGCATCGCCGAGACCCACGTCAGCCGAGACTCTGCCGTCAAACGGCTGTCTGGTAGGTCATCATGTCACGATCACCGATGCTGTTGGCGCCCAGTGACCTCTTCCCGTCACAACCTGACCCCACCCTCTTCTTCCCCAGTCGCCCAGATTGCCCTTTCCACCATCAGCCCTCTCAGACTCACCGGTCTCATCTGCCACACATTAAACCTCTTCCAACTAACCTGGACACCACCGTCTGGACAGCACCCATGCATCGCAAGCATCACAACCGGCACCAGTTCGAGTAGACCGGAAGAAGCCTCAACTTCCGACTGATGATGCCCTATCAACCTATTCTACCAGTATGACCCTTACTCAGCTCATTAGCCAGCAGGATTGTTGCCATGACACCGGACATTCGATAGCAGTTACGATGCAGAGTCTACCAACTGGCAGTCACGAGAATAGGTCAGAATGTTGGCTCAAATGACGAGCAGTGACAGATCGTGCGGAAAAGTGGACGGCAAAAGAGGCGGAGGAGCAACTTTTCTGAGTTCTGGAGCGCTTCAGACCGCTGCGTTGCTTGTCCTCGAAGCAGATTGTATAAAGCCTAGAAGCTGACAGCCTGTTTTGTCTACAGCCGTTGATGCTAATTTCTGCTCGGTTAGAATGTTTCTGTTGCAGACGCGTAGACTTCGAGATGTTGTACAGTTGACGAACTTAAAAAAGAGATGTCAGCGCCTTGGGAGTTGCTAGTTAAAACGGAATGTCAACTTTGTTAAAAGGTTAACAGTTATGTAGTAGTCAGGAGAACCTAATAAGAACGAAATATAATTAAATCTATGTCGTTAACTTGTCCAGAGCTGCATGGTTGGCAGGACCAATATGATATGGTCGCCATGTCAGGTCACCATGACGACACAATCAAGTTGTTAAAACGAGGTCAGACAAACTCTGAAAATTTGGCAGACTTGACAAGTGACTCATATGCGAGAGCCAGCCTTCAAAGTTGCTGGCCTCGAGGCCTCATTTCAAGTCGTCCTGAGAGCCAGTCTCAGCAACACCTTTCACTGGGACGGGCCTTCTAAAACGTAGAGAATGTGAGATCATATCGTGTCCATTTATAAATGAGGATGACTTCTTCTTCACTCTTAATCGGCTCAGGCTACCAACCTCAGCGTATCAACGATTCCACTGCTGTTGTC